TTACTTAGAATGTAGATCTTTGATCTCAGATATATCATATATATTATCCGATACTTTAGCGAAAGGAAAAAAAGTTAGCGCTAAACTTACTTGAAAAGCAATGGTCTGAAAAATCATGAGCATGAGTCTCATGGGCCACTTCGCCTTGTAAGATCGATGAGACCATAATCTATGAGCGCCAGCGGTGATGCCTAGACCCGCGGCAATACCAAGAGTCAAAACTATAAATTATGAATTATGATTTATTGAAGTCGATTAGCCTACGACTATAAAGTCTACGAACCCTGCGTAATCTAGCATTACGCAAAGAAACAAATAAATATGATACATACACCATATAAAAGACCAATATTTAGCTTGAAAGAGAAATACATAGAATCCATAAAGGCCAGCAAGATGAATATAGAGAAACATGATGATATTTTTCCAAACGATTTTCCATTTATAATCGGTCTTATGTGGTCCTTTCGTCAATGATTTATTATCTATAAACTTTCTGGATTTTTCAGAAATTCCAAATAAGTCCGGTATCATTCTGTGTCAAATAAATACAATTTAAAAATGGATAAATTGGCTCCAATCAATAAATTAATAAAGATGTATGAGTGCCTATGCGAGCTCCACTGTTATTAGTGCGTATACATTAAATACAAAATTTTCGTGTGAGTAATATATTTAAACAAAAAGTACAAACGTTTCAATCCAAATCCGGATCTTCTTCAGTGTAACAAAAGAATCTTCAAATTATAATACGTTTTTTGAACGAATTTGTCTGTAATCCCTCTTTATGGATCTCGTCTGTTATAATGCGTTAAGTTATTTACGCAATATAATTAGCAAATTGCAACAATAAAGCATATCGCTATATATGTACATCTGATTTAAAATATAAACTAGAAACTATTAGTTCCAAAATAATATATATTAAACAAAAATAAAATTACCTTTTGTTAAGAATTATATTATAATTTTACGTATGTGCAATCAAGCATTTTATTTTATTGCTTTTTTACATCGAGAAAATATCTGGACATCTAAATTCTTCTAAAATAAAAAAAAATCAAATATAGTAGTTATGAAATATGATTATATATATATAT